CCCCACACGCAAACCGCAACCCTAGAAATCGGGGGGGCGGGGGGCGGGTTGGGAGGGAGGGCTTGAGCCAACACAAACACGCCTATGTACAGAAACATGGGGAGGCGTAAGCTCTCGAGTGTTCGATTCATTTCAGTCGACGATCCATGGGGTCACACCACTGACTGGCATGACGGTCGTGGGGTCCCCGGTCACGTACGAGTTTTCGATTCAGGTCTGTCGACGATCCATGGAGTCCCACCACTGGCTGGCGTTGCGGTCGTGGGGTCCCCGTACACGGAACAAAACACGAATGTTCGATTCAGGTCATGCGACGACCCATGCATAGGCTCACACCACTGACTGGCGTTACGGACGTGGGGTCCCCATACACGTACCAAAACACGCATTCGATCCGGTCAGTCGACGACGATCCATGGGGGCACACAGCTGACTGGCATTAAGGTCCTGGCGTCCCTGGTTGAGCACTCCAGAGAGCCTCACGTTGGTCTCTTGGGCACTGCAGGAAGTCTCACGGTTGTCTGAGCGTTTGGGCACTCCAGGGAGTCTCACGGTAGTCTCACGGGATGTGCTGCTGGTTTAGGGTGTAAGCCGATGTGCCCTAAACCCTAATAAGGGTCTCCTGGTCCGAGGAGTCAGCTTCAACTGGAGTCATGGTCCTCATGATGGCCTGGAGATACTGCTGGAAGGGCGAGAGCGACCAAATTCAAGCCAAATGCTGCGTCAAAGCACATGACAGAACGTCAAGGATTTGTCAGAACACTTAGTCGGGGGGCAGCGCGACGCAAGCCGAACAGCGGCGATGTCAAGGTCCTAGACCCTACCCCCTGAACCACAGGATCAAGGCTTCCAAAGAGAGGGGCGGTACAGAGCTGAGCCCTTGTATGTTGGTGTACCGTATAGTATACTTGTATTAAGAAACCCTGAGGACTAGTATGGCTAAATGCTGTCGAATTCTTCAGGCTCCCACAATATTTCAAAACCTTTAGAAGCAATCCCAACCAAAAAATCCTGTAAAGGCTCCATTCAGGGCACCCGTATAGTAATCCTGTGACAGAAACCTTCAAACCATTAAAGGAGCCCCTTAAGGATACCCTGTTCTACCCCGGCTTCCCCGAAAACCCAGAGCCCGAGGTTTTTTGGTTAAAACAGGCTGAGCTCTGGGCCCACTGACCGGCGAACCAGGCGCCGGAGCCGACGTACCTCGTTCCGGTCCAGGCCCCAACCTCGAAAAGGCAGGGTTTAGGGTTTAGGGGTTTAGGGGTTTAGGGGTTTAGGGGTTTAGGGGTTTAGGGGTTTAGGGTTTAGGGGTTTAGGGGTTTAGGGTTTGGGGTTTAGGGTTTAGGAGAAATCCCCTAAAGGGGAACCCTACTCTAAACCCTAAATCCTAAAACCTACTTTAGAATCCCGAGTGCCCTTGTCGTTCCCTTAAAGGAACCCCATTTAGAAGTTCTGAAACCTTTAAACGAAGCAGATCTGCGTGGGGTTGAGGGTTGAAGGTTTGGGGAACCTCGAAAAGGGCAGAGAAAGAAGGTTGAGAGTAAAAGGGCAGAGAAAGAAGGTTGAGAGTTTGGGGAGTTTAGGGTTAAGGCAAGCACATGAGAAATAAAGGTACGTGTGTGCGTGTGTGTGTGTGTACATACATACATACATACCTACCTACCTACCTACCTACCTACCTACCTACCTACCTACCTAGCTAGCTATCTACCTACCTACCTACCTACCTACGTACGTACGTACGTACGTACATACATACATACATACATACATATATATATATATATTTGTAGATGAGTGACGAGTGAGTGTGGCATTTGCTGCCTTGGTTTATATGTTACACGCTTATGTATGCTGTACCAACAATGCATGCCCAGCTTGATGAAGGCATTGCTTGCTACTTCAACGGCTGTAGCGAAGGTATAGTTAACTGAGGCTGCAGGGTTGAATAAGCATTGTCTAGCATTCAATTTTAGCACAATACCCGCTTTATGTTTAAAGATTGCCGGCTAGTGTCTAACTACTGCGGCAGCAAATCTTTTGTAAGAATTCGTTTGGTTGTGTTAGCACTTATGCATATGTGTTCTATGCACAACCGTCATTTGCCGTGCAGCTCCGGAGGATTTTCCAATGAGTGTGGGGGCCCCCCAAACTCTTGATGAAAGTATTCAGGGTTTCAGGTTCAGAGCTTTTCTGAGGAAGGCTAGCTCGGTGATCTTTGTAAGCCCATGGCTTAGCTCTATGTAGCAAAAGTGACCCTGTACAAAGCTGCTCTGCTCTGAAGCGGCATGTACAAGCCCCTAAGGGTCCAAGGACCTAATAATCATATACTCTCCCAAATCTTAACCTAGATAACTACTATCCGCAATCAAAGTACCTTACGATTGGGTCCTTTGGGCCCTTTGGGAAAGAGCTTCCCAGAGACTCCAATATCCCTTAATTATGGAATTCTGCCTTAAATCCTATTAGGGATCCTATTAAAATTTAAGGTATATATTCCCTTAATTAAGGGGATCTTGGAGTCTCTGGCTTCAAGCAGAGCCCCTAAACCTTACTATCGGGTCCTTTGGGCCCTTAGGGAAAACAGCTTCAAGCAGAGCTGGCTGCGATGGGCAAGCAGGCTCCGAAGCGCTGCGCCAGGGGCTTGGTGGCCTTGAAAGAGCTCGCGCGCCTCCGAGGGCGACTGGAGCTGGCGTCCCAAGTCGAAAACTCCTACCACCCGTAGCCCTAGATCCTAAACCCCTAAATCCTAAAACCCCCTAAACCCCTAAAACCCCTTAAACCCCCCTAAACCCCTAAACCCCTAGAGCCTTAAACCCTAAACCCCTGAACCCCTGAACCCCCTAAACCCTAAACCCAAGAACCCCCAAAACCCTAAGCCCCTAAACCCCCTGAACCCCTAACACCCTGAAACCCTAAATTCTAAACCCCTAAAAACCCTAAGCCCCTAAACCCCCTGAACCCTTAAACCCTTTAAACCCTAAACCGCGCGAACCTCCGAAGGCGACTGGAGCTGGAGGTGAAGGAAACCTCGGAAGCCACGAAGGAGCCCAAACTCAGGTTCTCGTCATCCTCTGCGGCCGTAGCTGCTTCTGACCTTGCTTAGAGGGTTTAAGGTTTTGGGTCTGGGGCTTAGGGTTTAGGGCTTAGGGTTTAAGGTTTTGGATCTAGGGTTTAAGGTTTAGGGGTTTGGGTTTAGGGTTGAGGGCTTAGGGTTTTGGGGCCTAGGGTTTTGGGCAGTTTTGGGTGCAGGGTCTAGGGTTTAGGGTTTATGGTCTCGGGTTTAGGGTTTAGGGTTCTAGGGGGTTAGGGTTTAGGGTTCTAGGGGTTAGGGTTTAGGGTTTTTGGGGCTAGGAGAGACTACCTATGATTATGATGTCTCTAAGAAAACGACAGAAGAAGAGACGCAGACAAAAGCTCCTTCCCCAGAGACTCCAATATCCCTTAATTAAGGAATATACCTTAAACTATAAGAGGAGCCCTACTAAGATTTAAGGTATAATTCTTAAATTTAGGGATATTGGAGTCTCTGGGTCTTAAACTCACAGTGACTCGCTCTCTGTAAACCCTAAACCCTAAACCCTAAACCCTGAACCCTGAACCCTAAACCCTAAACCCTAAACCCTGAACCCTGAACCCTAAACCCTAAACCCTAAACCCCTAAACCCTAACCCTCCTTCTTAGGATCACAGTGACACTCTCTCTGCGCAGGACGGCTCCTCGGATTCCTTCGCTTGGCAGCGGATGGCCATCAGCACGACGCTGCAAAGCATGCAGAAGGCGCCGACAAGCTTCAGGGGTTTGGGGGCATTGTGGAAAAGGACCGTCTGCGCCAAGTAACCTGAGTTTCCCAGCCCTAAACCCTGAACTCTAAACCCTGAACCCTACTCATAATTCGGCCAACAAATTACGAAATCTCTCATGTTTGAAGGGAATCCTAACGGTCCCATAAGAACTGTGAAGATCCACAAGGTAGCTACTATTAAATTAGGCCTCCCCTAAACCCCACAAAACACATGCGAAAGATGCATCAACACCTCATGCGAAATGGGTAGCTCTCTAAATTAGGGTCCCTTTTGGGGTCCCAATATAGTACGGCACCCATATAAAAAGGACGAAAGCCCGTAGAAAGGCCGCCAAGCAACCGGTGATCCCTAAACCCTAAACCCTAAACCTGGACCCTTTAAGGGTGTAAAGGCCACCAGGCAACCGGTGATCATGCTTGCGGCCGTGAAGACGGTCGCGCTGACCGCTGCCGGACATCTTGTGGCCCCTGCCGCGGGAAGCCTGGGAGAATTGAACCATATATATATATATATATGGGCGTGGGGTTTACGGTTCGAGTACCACGACCAAGGTTTAAAGGCGGTTGTGACTTGGGTTCTGTAAGGCTCTTGAAAAAGTTTTCACGGGAGTGTTAAGGATTTCAACTTGCACTGCCACAACAAGGCATGTGACTCAGACTGTGTAGTCCTTTTATGGCAACTTATTTAAGAACCCCTGAACAAGCCTCGGTAAATTCAAAGACCCTGGTACCAGCGCTGTAGCAACTTATGGAGCCTTTCTAGACCCTGAGAAACCACTGCAAACCGTTTCAGCCTTGATACAACCGGGACAAAACTTTATAAACACAAATAACCATCGTTGTGCAACCGTTTTGAAGCAGCTAAACCTGTTCAATCCCTAAACCCTGAACATTACCAAACCCTGAACATTACCCCCCAACCTTGTCCTAAGCCTGAAAACCGCCGCCTACACCCTAAACTGTGAAAACCCTAAACCCTCTAAACCCTTTAAACCCTCTAAACCCTCGAAGCCCTGAACCCTAAACCCTAAACCCTCTAAACCCCAAACCCTAAACCCCCTAAACCCTAAGCACTGAATTCTCAACCCCAGAGGCAAGATCGAGATGGAGATCCAGACCGTCAGAGTCAGGAGAAGCCAAATGGCTTGCCACGGCCTGGCCATGACCACCCCAAAGGCGCTGTGTTCATGCCTGGGATGGATTTTTAGAGGGGTTTGGGGGGGTGTTTAGGGTTCCGGGGTTTTTAGGCTTTAGGGTTTAGGGTTTTTGGAGTTTTTTGGGCGGGAAGGCGCGTGAGTTTTTGTTTCGTGGTGCTAGGGCCCACAAGAATTGAGATCTTGCTCATTTGGGATCGCTTGGTCGGCGTTTTAAAGGTCTCATTTCATTCCTTACGGGTTTACAAGGCTCTTTCAGGGTGGGCCTCATGACTAGAAGAAGCTCCTTTAAAGGTTCCTGTAAGGGTTGCTACAAGTCCATAAGCGTTCTTCAGGATAGGGGCCATGTAATTCGAACAGGGTTTTTCGGTACGTTTCATAGTTTGACTATAAGATGGAACCCTGAGGAATAGTATCGGTACTCCTTTTTTACTTATTCAAGCTTCTGCGCTTTCTGGGTATATGCTTCTGATAATAAGACAAGAACATTGCTCGTATGGTAACACCTCTGGGCTGTCCTTGGAGGTCCCTCCAATACACCAGTATTCCCAGGGTGCAAAGATGTCCATGAGCATACGTATGTGTATGTCCAAACTCACCAACTGGACTGTTCACTTACTACGGTTGAGGATATCAGTCCTGCATTACCCATAGCAAGGAAGATATACTGTAACTCCCATAGTTTAGGGTCCTTAAAGGATTCTGCACGATTTATATCATATCATCAACAGTATGCCAGGATTAACAACACTTGCACTTCTTGAAAAAGCAAAAGTGCCCCGCGTTCAAAAAACAAAATGCCAAACCTTAAGCTCCCTTCACAAATACAACGTAGGGGCCTTAGTAGTTGGAACAGGGTTTTGGGGTCCATAATACTCTGATTATAATAAGGAACCCCCTCAAATAGTACAGGTAGTTAGTTTAAAGGCCCCTTTGTTAAAATTGTATAGGTAATTATTTTAAAGGCCCCTTTATTAAAATTGTATAGGTAGCCATTTAAAGGCCCCTTAATTAATTACCAAGGCCGGCCCCGACGCTGGACGAGGGGAACCAGCAAGGCTGCTGGCGCCGAGAGGAGCAGCGAAACCAGGGAGAGCAGCGACACGGGGATGTGGGCCGACTTCCGCGCGCAAACCTCGGTTCCGAAAGGGCTTTTGGGGTTTAAGGCTGAGGGTTTGGGGTTCATGCATGGGTCTTGTAAGGAATTGCTAGGGGTGTGCTGGAATAGTTTGCGAAACAACCTCAAAATCAGCTATCATACGAGGGGCATATAGCACAGCATGAGATCGGAATATGCTTTCCGCTCTGTGGAAAGATATCACTTAAGCTTTCTGAACAAGAGCCCAGGAACAAAAGAGCATGCCTGAAAGCAGCCGGAGAGGAGGGCAATGCAGTAGCCTGGGTTCTTGTTAAGGGTTTTAATTTGAATTGCCATAATAAGGAAACCATATTATTTACTATAGATCCCTATTATGGTAGCTTAGTTTAAACCCCTAAACCCTAAATGAAACCCTAAACCCTAAACTAGATCCCGATTATGGTAACTTAGATTAAACCCCTTAACAAGAACGGAGCTCTGAAGTAGTTCCATTTTCATGGTTCATATTGAGAATCCCATAAAGGTAATCCCAAAAAGGAACTACTAAGGAGCCTATGGGTAGAGGAACCTGTAACAAGAACCCAGTAGCCTGCCGGAGACTCACCGGCGCCCTGGCTGCTCCCGAAGAGAAACTGCGGCTGTGAGATGCAGAGTGCCTTTGTTCCCAAAGTCACGCCTGAGCCCTACACCCTAAAACCCTAAAACCCTAAAACCCTACACCCTAAAACCCTAAAACCCTAAATCCCTAAACCCTAAAACCTAGACCCAAGACCCTAAACCCTACACCCTGAACCCTGAACCCTATACCCTGAACCCTAAACCCTACACCTTTCACTAGTTTTGAAGTTGGAAGAAGGAGCTACTGGGGGACCGAGATGCTCCGGCAACTGACAGGATCAAGGCAAAGAGATGGAGAATGCTGACCCTTTCCTGGGTTCTTGTTAAGGAGTTTAACTTAAGTTACCATAAAAGGGAAGTATCGTAGATAATATGGCTTTCTTAGTAATAGGGTAACTTTAAAGAAAATCCCATAACAAGAACCCAGTTTCTCCCAGGAAGACTAGGCCCAAAAGTGCTGCTGCAATAATGTCAATGCTGGTAAGCGCAGCCACATCACCTGGGGCTGCTCCAACAATCACGGAGAGCATGGCGCCAATCCAGTGAAAATTTTCGAAGACGGCTCGCGCCAGTACCCACTTGATATCCTTTCGCTGGGGGCAAGCTATGCCCAGGCACCACACATGCAGGGCATTCACTACTCCGGCCATTAAGCAGGAGGATGCCAAGAGATACCAGTACGGCCATTGCATTTCCTAGGTTCCACAGTAGCCCCTTAATAATCAGGGTACCCTTTTTTCTGTTGTTTGGGTTTTAATAAGGGAACCCAAAACGAAAAATGGCAAAAAGGTACTACTAGGGAACCTAGTTTCTTCAATCATCTTGCTTATGGCCATCTGAGAGGTCACCGAAACTCCGGAAGCGAGCATCAGTAATATCCCGATCACCTCCGTGGAGCACTTCATGGCTTGAAAGCTTCTCCCGCGCCTACTTGACTCGCTCTACCTGCCCTTTGAGCCCAAGATACGCAGATCTTCCAAACGCAAAGCACACACGCACAGGAACCCTTCACCTTTGCAAGGCATGGCGCAGACTGCGCAGCCAAAGCCGAAGAAGAAGCAAAGGCGGCCGTCCTCAAAGGCCCGGAAACTAATGGCTAGAACTCTAAATTGGGGCCCCTTTTGGGGTCCCCAATATAGTATGTACGGCATCCTTACAAAAAGGAACTCACAAGGGACCCTAAGGAAAAAAGAACTATTTGAAGGCCTTTTGGGGCTGTTGGGGTCTCGGGCTTCTAGGGTTTCAAGGCTTACGGCTTCCCTAGACCCCACAGAACCTACTTTTCAGGACTTATATCAGGAAATCATAGTAAGGAAAACCTAAAAAAGGGAGGTTCTTACGGGTCCAAGTAGGGTTTAGGGTTGGGGGATTGACGGCCTCTTGGGGTTCAGGGCTTAGAGCACGGCTTTCATCTAAGAACTGTTCCACAAGTTCGTTCCTTTTCAACGGGTCTAACTCTGGTTTAGGTGGGAATTGCGAGCATCCTTGGCAATTGATTCCAAGGCCCTTAAATCTTACATCCCAAGACACGTTATATAATACCTTGAAGAGTCCTGAAACCCTAAATGCAACCCGAAACCCCAAAGCCCTAAAGCCCTATGCCAGAAAGCCTTAAACACAAGCCGAAACGCCCGAACATGTTAACGCCCTCTCAAGGCTCGAAATACTAAACCCAACACGCCGGAAGCCAACAGCGAAACCCTCAAATCCTATCGCCGAAAAGCCTTGTCAAGACCTCGCCAAGGTGATCTGGTATCAGACTGTTGGGATATCACTGCCAATATTACTGCTCTTCTATGTCTTCTACAGGTTCTAATTAGCAGGATTTTGTAGGGTCCTCGTACAAGGCATCAAACGGATCCGAGATGAAAGTGTTTCAATGCAGGCCCAGGTAAGCTGCTGAACATGCATCTTATGGACTTAGGCTGGCCTTTCACCGAAGTGTGAAAAGCAAACCTTAATCCCCAAACCCTCATCCTTAATTAGTCCGTAAACCCTGAACCGTAGAAGTTCCATCGTCACGGCCACGAGGTTTCTATGAAGGGTTAGGCTTTGTCGGTTCTTTTTTTCTATATGTTGGGGGCCTCGGAAGACCAAGTCAACGCCGTGGTGCGACGCGAACCCGGAAACCTAAATCCTACATTGAACTCTAAACCCTAAACCCTAAATCCTAATCGTACACCCTAATTAAACCCTAAATCCTACACCGTAAAGCTTGAACTTGAACCTTTAATTCTTGTGGCTCCTAAGGTTACAAAACCCCAATAGAAACCCTGAAAAACACTCCATCCAAGTCCAAGGTTGTGCTCTCCTCCAGCTCCATCACGCACACGTCGGCCGAAAGCCGCCTCGCCCTGCCCGGTGGCACCGTACCTGCTTCCGGGTTGCGGGCATAGGGTTGATGGCTTCAGGGACAGCCCAGTTCAACCTAGGACCCAGGGGCCGGCCACGGGCCCACGGGCCCGCCATCGAACCCATACAAGCAGCGGTAGCGGCACTAACACCACGTTTAAGTCGCCCCAGCAGGTGTGAAGTCGCCGCAAGCAAGGGCACACGCGTGTTTAGAGCGTTCACGGCACAGACTAAAAATGTCGCATGCCCTTCGCACGGTGGGTTCCTCATAAAAAAACTAGTGGCCAACATACACATGAGTATATGCGAAAAATACGTGTGGATGTCATCGAGTTTGGGCAATGGGTGATGTTTTCTCGGAACATGGACGACATTCTGCTTGAGCCATAAGGGGTGGGGGCGATGGGAGGGGAAACAACCCAACCTAGCACTAACCTAAACCCTAAGCCCAGCTTCCCCTGATTTGGGGGCCTACAGTAAACCATGGAACAATAAAGGCTGGG